AATTAGCAACTCGCATATGCAGGGATATGATATCATCAGTTGAGCGCTAGACTGGTTCATATGAATTTAGAATTAAAATCGTCGAACTCTACTTCGACATCCGCCGTTCACACACACATGAACAACTCATTGTCGGACCACATTGTTCTCGCAACTGCTATGGTTTTGGTTCGCGACGCCTGAGGAAATTATCATCTTGGCCGAGCTTTGCTAGATTCCTGCTCACAGGTAAATTTCATTACTAATGAGCTTTCGCAGAAACTGATGCTTCCACGCAGCAAACACAACATCGAGATCCAAAGTATTGGTGAGTCTTCCACTAATATCAAGTATAAGACTTCTATTAATATCAAGTCGCAAACGACAGGGTTTGAGCTACCGCTTACTTTTTGCATTACGTCACATATCGCCTATCAACCGGAACTGGGGATAGATATATCGTCATGGCATATACCATCAAATATTGTGCTTGCGGATGATCAATTCCACAAATCTAAGAAAATCGACCTGCTTTTGGGTACAGAGAGCTTCTTCAGTTTGCTTTCTGTAGGACAAATTAAATTTGGTAATAACCTTCCTATTTTACAGAAAAGCCTGCTGGGCTGGGCCGTTTCTGGACGCTATCGTCCGAACTCTAATGCTCTAAATACCAAATACTTGCTTGCCTGTAAGGATTCTATAGATTCAAGGTTGGAAAAGTTATTCCAGATTGAAGAAGTTGAAACAAAGTCTGACGTGTGGACTCGTGAGCAACACAGCTGCGAAAAACTATATAATGTCACCGTTCCTCGGAGCGCCAATGGTCGGCTTATAGTAAAAATTCCGTTCAAAGACGATCCGGCCTGCTTAGGTGAATTATACACTACAGCCTTGCGAGGATTTAATGCGCTAGAACGTCGGTTACAACGGTCCCCTATCCTCAGGACACAGTACGTCGCATTAATGGATGAGTATGAGAGTCTAGGCCATATGCAAGCAGTGCCCAACCCGGAATTGAACGAATCTCAGTACTTTATCCCCCACTATTGCGTTTTGAAGCCGAATAGCACAACCACGAAGCTAAGAGTTTTCTTCGACGCATCTTGTCGAAAAACTATGCAGAAATCGATAAACGACATCCAAATAGTCGGACCTACTATCCAAAGCGTGAAAATGTATAGGCTAGTCAGTGAGGAATATCGCAGATTCCAGTATATTTTGTGGAGGAGTTCGCCTCATCAAGATATTCACCTTTCAGCTCAACGCGGTCTACGTTGACGATTTGCTCTGTGGTGCTGACTCGCTTGCAGAGCTATCACGCATCAAATATGAGGTAACATAATTACTGAAATTAGGTGGACTTGAGCTGGTAAAATGGAACTGTAACCACCAGCGGTGCAGAGGCGAACACACTGACAGTGATTTGAATCTCGACAAACTCTGTCACCTTGGTCTTAAATGGGATCAGATTCACGCTAATTTTCTATTTTCTTTTCTATTAAAGCAGCCACTAAACGGTCGTGTTACAAAAAGGACAAGGACATCGCATCATCGCTCTTCGACCCTATTGGCCTCCTAGCTAAAAATCTGCTTCAGAAGCTGTGGTTGCTGAGACTCGAATGGGATGAATCGGCTCCGCAAACCATCCAGTCAGCTTGGCAAACCTTTGTCAACGACCTTTCGGATCCTACCGCAGAAGTTCCAAGGTACTGTTTATCTGATAACATGCAGTCGTTGCAAATACATGGATTTTGTGATTCATCGATTCGTGGTTATGGCTGCGGAATATATATACGCATCGTAGACAATACTGGTAATGTT